CTCTTTAAATGAAAACTTTCATCCCTTCATTCCGCATTCAAAATAACCAAAAGAATTTGATTAGATATCACAACACAACAATTATTTTTATACTCAAAGAAAGAAAATTTCTTAAACACTTTAATCAAATGGATAGATGGATTGCTTTGTATGCAATTTGGTTTTCTTGACAATTGGCCTTTTTATTGAAAATGCTTTTGATTTAAATCTTTATTCTTAAAGTAAATTGTAGTATTACTTAAAGCAAATTGGTTAACAGTTAAAAAGGCTTTAGTTTTCTTGTTTGCCATGGAATTAAATGTTTTGGGAAATGGCCCATTTAAATACAACATTGAAGTGCACACACACACACACACCAAACTATGTATATACCTATGTGTTTGTACACAGTATGTATATACATAGATATGCATGTACATACATATGTATGTAGGTATGTACGTACAAAGAAAGTAAACACTTTCCGAATGTATAGATACATGGCAACAAGTGGCCAAAAACTCTTTAAGATGTACAAATGTACATATCTATGTGGGAATAAGTTTGGCAATTTTTAAACAAAGCAAAGGACAATTTCTGTTCTACAAATCGAGTGGAGTATTTAATGTGAGACACTTTAAAGGCATTTGTTTATGTTTGCGTATGGTTTTCAGAAATAATTTAATTTAATAAAAAAAATCTAGAAAGACTAAAAAATTAAAAAAATAAAACGAATGAAATATTTCTCTGTTACGGCCGTCGTATTTTTGAAAATTTTGAAACTCGCTAAAAAGATATATTAAAAAAAAAAAAAACAGTAAGAAAAGGTCAAAAGTCGGGAGGGGCCGACTGTATGATACCCTACACGACTATGCATATTTAGTAGAGCTCCCGCAACAAACAATGTATGTAAAGTAGATCATACCACCTATGAACCTTATTTGAATGCCTATTCCATTGGATAAGAAAAAATCTATCCAATTCGGACTGATATTACATATATGGTGAACAATAAGCGCAAATTGGATGAATATGTGTATCGAAGGGGAATAAAAATCTGAACCGACCTTGAACAGAGGTATTTTGCAGCTGTATCTGATGCCCGATATCAAACACCATTGCTGTGTAGGGCATATTACCAATGTAAGGGACTTAAACACCAGATGGAATGAAACATATGTATGGGAGCTATGGGTATATCTGAACCGATTTTCACCAAAATTTGAAGTACTTGCTTCTAGGCTGAATTCCGCCGAAAGTGCCAAAATGCAGTCCATTTGATGCACAATAAACTTGAAATCGGATAAAAATATACATGGAAGCTATGTCCAATTCTGAACCGATCTTGATAAAATTTGACAGAGGTATTTCTGGGCTGTATTTGATGTCTGGTACTAAATATCATTCTTATGGAGTGCATATTACGAATGTGAGGGACTTAAACACCAACTCAGATGAAACATATATATGGGAGCTATAGCTATATCTGAACCGATTTTCAAAAAAATTTATGTACTTGCTTCGAGACTAAATTCCGCCGAAAGTGCCAAAATTCAGGTCATTTGGACTGATATTTGCCATTTGGTGCACAAATAACCCGAAATAGGTTAAAGATAAATATGGGAGCTATATAAAAATTTGAACCGATTCTCAGGATAGGATTCGTCCTTGGGTAAAGGGATAGAGATAAAATTCTAAGATTTTATATATAGATTACTGAGTTTGAGATTTGGTGATGGTTTAAAAATGCGTCTTTGTACGAAAAGTACTAAATGGTACTAAAATTTGGTATTTGGGAGAGGCATAGGGTTGGAATACTGAAATTCGAAATTTGATTTGAGGTCTCTGTTGGTATCTGGGCTTGATATATGGAGGTGGTTTTGCAAATACGTTTAATAATTGTCCGAAAAGTACTTCATATTTTCAATCACTGTTAGTGTCTAGTCTGGAGAGATGTAGATTGTTTTGGATATGCTTACTAAATTTTGGTTTGGGTGAAGGAATAGAGTTGATATCGAGATCAATATTGAAAAATTGGATGTTGATCCATTGTGCAATGGTTTTACTAATATCCTCCTTGGTAAACGTCAAAATAAAAGATTTCAAGAAAGATTTTTTGGGACATTTTCCTATTATTCTTCCCGAAAAGAAAAAAAACTTGAATAATATATGAAACCTTAAAGGTCTGAAAAATTAGTACGATTTATAACGTTTTAATTAAAAAATGTTGTCAAACCGAAATTGTGCACTTTGAGTATTAATAAGGCCTAAGACGAACTCTTGGAACGAATCTAAAATTTAAAGGTGAGGTTTGGGCTGACGAAGTAGCGAGCACTTGATCGGAAACCTATATATTTAAATAATAAGTTGAGAATGCTGCCTTTGTAAAATTTCGAAAGGCCAACAAATATTGAACAATTATTTGTATATTTTTTCGTGAACTGTCTTAACTGAATCTATCAAATTTAAAATATTTCAAAAAGAGGTTGAATTCTTCACATTAAAAATTTAGAATTTTGAGTATTTAAGTCAAAACAAAAAAAAAAAAAAAAAAAAAAACTATTAAAAATATTCAAAAAAAAAAAAAAAAAAAATTGAATCAACATAATGCGTTTCTTTAAGATTTCAAATGATATTCCATGTTCCATCCTGTTTCAAATGTTTTTTTTAATATTAAGATAGTAGCCACCATATCTATCTATATTTCAGACTATAATAACACATATATAACAACATTTAATAAAAACTGTTATTTTAATATTTTTAAGAAAATTTCAATCCTTTCAAATTATGGACTTTACCTAGAATGATTTTTTTAAGTAAGCCCTTCCATTTTCTATCTTTATTCGAAGGTTTTTTGGGCCAAGAGCAATTTTTATTTATTATATGGCTTTATTTTTACAATATCCACATATTTTCTCTAGACTTTAAATTGAATAATCCAGTTAATCTTAAGAAAGAAATATTTTATCTACCCCAGTAATAGTGCCCACTACTTAAGATCACATTCCTAAACAAAAGAAACAATGCCTACTTTACACTTAATTACGAATCAAAATATAAAGCTTTAAATTGAATAAGAAAATACCCAGTAGGTACAATTTAAGTAAGGAATATATGTAGCCAGTCCACTCCTGTATTTTTTATACCATTTCTTCTACCTCTAAATTTTATTCTAATATTAAAAAAAACGGCAACCAAAGAACAAAAATTTCCAAAAAAAATAACTTAACTTTCTGCAACAAAAGAAAAGAAAGCAACCGCAAAGCTACGCTCTCTACGTCTTTAAACCCAAAAAGAAATGAAAGCCAAGAAGAAAAAAAAACAATAAAGAAATAATGGCAACGACAAATCATATAAGAAAGTGGGAGGTTACCTTTGGCTTTGAGCAACAAAAACACGACAGCAAAAAAAGAAACAACAACCACAAAAAAAAAACAACGACAACATTATGATAAATACAAGTCATAATAAAGAATATGATGAAAATATAAAAACAAAAACAACAACAACGATATAACCAAAGAGTAGAGGAGAGTCAACACCACCAACCAACCATAGTACCGTCGCCTTGTATTCATCAAATATTAATGCGCGCCAGTGAACGAAAACGTAGAAGAAGATGTTAAAGAAGCCCATTCACAACAAGAACAACAACAACACAAGAAAGAAACCCAAAATGAAGGGGGTTGGCTGTTATTGTATTGTAGTTACAGTCATATACAATGCCGTTGGCTTTGTTGTTGTTCTTTTTTTATTATTTTTGCCGCTGACGTTCTGCTTGCTGTCTTGTACATTGGTGCTTTTGGTTATGACAAGCAAGACACAGCAACAACAACAACAACGCCAATAATGTGTATAGAAAAAAACCTTAAATTATTAAATATGAAAGACAGAGAAAGCAACAGTTTGTGTTGCAGGCATTTTATTGACAAGAGTAAAAGAGAAATAAAACCAGTTGCTTTTTGCCTCACCAACGAGGAGAGTGTATGCGTATGGGAGAGAGTAATGTAATGTTGTTGGGTTTTCTTCTTTCATTTCTTCATAACGAATAAGCCAACACCGATATGAATGAATTATGATCAATTATTGTAAGAGAGAGTAAACAGAAAAAAAGAAACACCATAATAACACCCACCCCCACATGGCCAATAAAAACACATTTCTTGGGAAGTCCAAAGAAGAATTTACAATTTTTTGGGAAGCAAATTTAATAATTTATATTGTTGGCGTTTTCCTCCTGTTTTTAGTTTAATAGATAATTAGATTTTCTTTATTAAAATCCTTATTTCTTTTGTTTTTAATTCCCATTATCAAACCTCCAGAGAACAGAGCTAACATGTTTCCTCATTGATAAATCTCATTAATAAATCCACTCTCTCTCCCTCTCTCTCTCTCTCTGCATTCAAAACAAAAACACAGTAAATTTGAGCATACAAAACAGAGAAATGAAAAGAGCATTTGTTAAGTCGATGAGAGTCTGGTAGAGCGGGAGATTTTGTGTTTGGCTCTTTGATTCATCCATTTACCGAAAAAAGGGTGTGAGTCTAGTTAACAGTTAAACCAAAAGCAGTTAGAGAGACAAGGAAAGGAAATGTTATTTGATTTGCCTCACAGAATATGGGCTAGAAAGAGATGGCATGAGAAAATATTAATAAAATTATGATGTTTTGAGTTTTCATAACATTATACATTGTGGTTGTTGTTGCTGCTGCTGTTGTGTGGCCTGTGTATGTGTCGGTGAGTGAGGCCCATTAAAGTGTGTGTGTGTGGTGTTTGGCCGTAGTAGGGAAAAAAGAAAAAAAGAGAAGGCACATAAAAATTAATGTTGATATATGTTTCATATTTGAAATGATAACATGTTTTTGTTGCTGCTAGCTGGCTAGCTGACTGTATTTGTTGGTAGAGCGTGTGTGTGTGCCTGTATGAGTGAGTGCTGAGTATGAGTACGCATTTAAGGTGGTGGCGCTGGTGGTCTGGTTGTGCTGCCTGCCAGCTAGTAGTAGTCGTAGTAGCACAAGCAACAAAAATATTACGAATTGTTTGAGTGACTTTTTGGTTGGGCTGTTATTATTTGTGAAGTCAGTGTAAGTTTGACGCGCGTGCTGAACGTATCACACAAGCAAAAGAGACGTGAAAAACACACATAAGAGATATATATTTTCAAAACAACAGCAACAAAACTAAATATCAAGCAAAATAATAACGTAGTGTTTAAAAGAACGTAAAATATCAAACGAAAGACGAAACTTGTAATAAATCAAATAAATAAATAATTAAGAAAACAAAGTGAAATGTTTAGCACAATCATTTAAAAATTACCAAAATTATTTTAAAATTTAAAGAAAATATAAAAGTATTTAAAAAAAATTAAAAACAAAAAAGCCGCCGGGTTTTGAAAAAGTAACACACACACAAAAGAGACAAAAATAATTAGCATAAAAAGCAAACAAACTAAGTTAAAATGAGAGTATGAGTGAAAGAAAAACATTGAGTTGGATGAATAGAAAAATGAAATTGCTGTTATGAAACTCGACAGCAAAACATTTTTTGTTAATAAGGAATAAAAAATAATTTGACAAGCCAATCACAGGCCAGCAATCCAACAATTAACACCAATATATAATAACTACAAAACTTTTAATAAATCAATTTGCACAGGGCAATTGAGGAAGAACAACAACATCTGCCCATCAGTCATCGTCATCAAGGATATTATTTGGGAAATAAAAATATGTTTTGTTATGATAAATGAAAAAAGAAGAATTTAATTCTTGTTTTTAATAAAGTGCGTCATAATCAATTTTATGGTTTCCTAAATTAAATAAAACAAAAATTAAATTAACAAAATAATATGCCCCGTTTTGGACATTATTAAAACCGAAAGAAAATAAAAAACTTTATGGTTTCATTTACATTCGGTGTTAAACCTCGCGTATTTTTGCAAATTTATCTAACGGAATACCTGACAGTTTTCGTCGTCTCGTCTATTGTTCTATTCTAAATGAAAAATATTTTCTCAACGGTTTTGTGTGAAATGAGAAGTGATTTTAAAGAAAGCCATCAAGAAACCATTAATAAAATGATACAATTTGGCACGGTTAAATATGGAATTGTCAAACAATTAAAAGATCGTGCTAAAAGTGCAGAGAAAGGTAAGTTGAAAATTACAAAAAAAAAAAAAAAAAAAAAAATAAATAAATAAAAATATTTTAAAGAAATAACAATAAAAATGATTTATAGTGGAAATTGATATCCAAGAGATAAATATCAGGATTTTTAATGAGTGTCCGAAAATATATTTTGATTGGCTCGTTTGTTAATTTAGCCTCTATTTTCTATGAAAAACATTATTTGAACGTCTGTATTGAAAACTAGTTGAGAAAATATATTTGAAAATTGATATAGTGAAATATGCTAGGCCCATAAATGGGAATAAAAAATTATTAATAAAGTTATAGGATTTGTCATAGATATTAAGAGTTCTAATTATATATAAAATAGATTTTTTTTTAATTTTTCTAAAGATTATTATTCTAATCTAAAGATAAATATTATTGGTCTTTAGTGGTAAAATTTGTTTTTTTGATATCAGAAAAAAATGTTCTAAGAAAAAAAAAAATAATAAATTATATTGGTTTTCTTAAGTCTGCAGTATTCCCCCATAAAAAAAATTAAGGTTATCAGACTCTAAAATATCAAAATGCCCAATACAATTGTGGTTTACAGAAATTATGAAAAGGTTCTTAAATTCAAAGATTTCTCAATAGCTGTAATAGAATGTTTGAAATATAATTTTCAGATATAAGTGGACGAACGAAGAAAATGTGAGCAAATTATGTATTAAAGGCTTTGATTCTGACATGTATTGAAGATAGTATGAAAATGTTCCTAAATTTCAAGTAATAGTCCCTTATTATTTTAAGATAATTTGGGGAAACTGTGTTTCAGAATCCTAATTTTCAGATTATTTTTTAAAGCCTTTGACTCTTGAGACAAAATTCTAAAATAATAGCATTTACAAGAAATTATGAAAATTTTCTTACATTTTAAGAATTAGTACTTATATATCTTAAAATTGTACTTGAATTATTTTATAATAATTAAGAACTAAATCTTAAAATTTAAGAACGTTTTCATAATTATTTATTTTCATGTTCGAAATATATTTGGTAATACCAATTAATAGGAGTTATCACAATCGAGGCCATTCAATTTGAATCTGAAGACAGATTATCGGAAATTGAAGTTTCTTAAGTTTCCTTACTTTAATTTTTTTTCTAGAATGCTAAATTTGAAATACAAAAGTGAATGCTAGTTATGTGGTTTGAAGTTGGTGGCGTTGATAAGATTCAAAATGCATAATAGTTGTTCCTATAAATTATGAAAAAAAGTTCTTAAAATAAAAGATCAAGTTCCTAAATTCAATAAAACAAGGAAATGATCTGAATGATTTGAGACATATTTGACAAAGCGAAGAAATGTGTGTTGCTTATAATATCCGACTCAGAATGACTCTGATGATAAAATATCTAAAAATATCATATAATTATGAAAAATGTTCCTAATTGCAGATTCAAAAGGTTTTAATCTTGGAGAGATTTAAGAGAAGTCTCCATAGAGTTTAATTTTTGAATACAAATATATTTCAATTAATTTCTTTTTTCAATATTTGAGAAAAGGAAGAGCATAATCAGTGGCAAAAAAAAAAATGAAAATAGTGTTCCATTTTTTTTCTTTAAAATATCTAAGTTATTTTGTAAATATATCAGTATTGTTGGCGCCCAAATAGTAACCCTTTTTTATTCCTATCATTCATGTATGACAGAGCATATTCCATTACAAATCATTTAATTTTTATTTTTTGTTGCGGTCTAAGACTAGACTCCAAAAAAATTCATTTTTTAAATACAAACATATTTCAATGAAATTTCCCTTTTTTCAGTATTTGACAAGAGGAAATATATATTTTTTGTTTTTATTTTTTTTTTTACCTAAAAAATATCTGAGTTATTTTGCAAATATACCAGTATTGTTGGCGCCCAAATAGTAACTCTCATATACATACATATATATTTCTTTAAATCTCATCATTCCTGTATGCTAAAGCGATTTTCAAATCAAAATCATTTAATTTGTATTTTTTTATTGCCGTTATAATTATGTTTCCATACTTAAAAAATATAATGTCGTTGTTTTATGATTTTCGTTTTTAATATACATAACCCAGAGTGATATGGCAACAAGGGCAATAATTCATTGCACATTAGCATATTTTTAATTAGAGAGAAAAAAATTAATAAAATCTCTAACCAAATATGGTTTTTATGTTTCCAGTTGGAACAAAAGAAAAGGGCGGAAGATTTCATAATTGAATGGACTAAATGAAGTCCAAACAGGAAATAGATGTGGAGTAAGCAAATGGGTGACTATGTTTTTAATAACTTGAATGAGCAGCTAAAATTTAAAATTAAAAAGAAAATTTTGGCAAATTTTAGTATTTTTTTTGATTTGAAATTTTAAAGTAAAAAATTTAGCTCAGTTCCAGAACCTATAAGAATCTACTAGTTCTGCATTTTTTTCGTGGATATTATAAAGGAAAAATTGTTTCTTGTTGGAAACTTTTACATTCTTTTGCAGTTCTGAAACAAAGCATTTAGCAATTTAAGGGTGTTAAGAGTTCTATTGCATTTTCATATTGGACCCAGTTTATTTTCCATTATTTCTCTTGTTTCAATACCTTTTATTTTTTCATTAAAAAATAAATAATCATAAAAAAAATAAAAAATCATAAATATCCATGCTGCCAAATCTCTGTTCAACGGAAGCTCTTTTGAAATTCAATTAAATATTTCAAAAAAAAAAAAATTCAAAAAATATGAAAAAAATTTCTTTGAATCGGCAACAACAAGAACAACAAAAAAGCCAACTAAATTAAAATACATATATATCATAAATTTCTCTGTTAAATGCAAAGAAATCATTGCGTTGAATAAATTTTGGCTACCACCACCCGCCTGGTGCCGATGCTGTCTCGTGCTCCTCTGGCCAGTTTGAAAGAGTTGATAAATCATGTTTTTAAAAAAACAAAAACACATACATAGCTACATACATATTGTATTTTGTATGTATTAAAATTCATATTAAAAAAAAACAACAACAAAAAACATAAGTTTGTATTAATTTTGTGTTTTTTATTTTTGAGTCAACCACATTTTGACAAATGAGTTCAGTTTTAATTTCGATTTTTTTCATATTCTATGCCCCCACACATTCACTGTCGAAACGTTTTGGGGGTATTTTAAGTTTGTTATGCCATTTGAGACATTTGGTTGATAATATTGAAGATGTAAACTTGCCCGAGATATTTCCTTTAAATTATTATCTTTTATTTTTAAATTGGCCGCATAAATAATCCCCGGTGCTGAGACAAATCCGGAAATTAATCTATTCATAAAGCATTAGCATTGTTTTTGTTGTTTTTCTTTTGTGACAAAAATAAAACTTGATCTGTTCCTAATTGCCATTAATAATAATTTTGTTAATAACAAATAAATAATCAATAAATTTCGTATATTATAATTTTTAATTAAGTAAAACCAAAATTGGCCCGTGGTAATAAGCAAAATGGCATAAGTAACAAAATGTGGTATTTGAAAATATTTATTTTTTTTTACTAAGCACCTGTTTTGAAAACCATAAATATATATTTTTGGGACCATTGAATTTTATTCCCATGCCTGAATTCGTGTTGAACTTCTAAGAGAAGATCGTGATTTTTTTCTTAGATTTTTTTCGGTTTGAAATAAAAAAAAAAATCTGCTTAACAAATGTTAGTCATTCCGATGAATGTGATAAATATGTTAATAAATATGATAAGCATTATTACTTTTTAAATATGCATAACAGTGATGGTTATGTGTGTTGGTTAAAATTAACCCTATCATATGAAAATAGAGTGAGTGGGTGTCCAGAGACCCACAAACTAAAAAATTGGAAATATTTCCTCTGAATTTTGAGAGAAAAGAAATTTGTTACTTTCCACCAATGAATAAAACAAAGCAACAACAATGAACGATATTTGCTACTCATTTGAACTAATTCAAACTATATTTTGAAATACCTTTTATGAATTATTCTTTTAAAATCATCGCATCGAAATTGTGATAATTTTTTTTTTAAAAAAAACTTCTAATGCTCGGAATTTACCCTTATTTGCCATCTAGGGGTTAACGAAATCCATTATTCCCATTAATAAATAAATAAACACAGACAAATAATTTGTTATCTATCATTTTCGAAAAGCAAAGCTTTTTCCCATTCAAAAATTAAAATTTCCAAAATTGGTTTTGTTTTTATTTCTCCATACCAGTTTCGAACGAACAAATATTGAAATTTTATGTTTTGTCTGTTGTCATGATATTTATGATTTTTATAAGGCAATCAACTTGAAACAACCAAGAGAATCAAAGCTACAAAGAAACCGAAACAAAATATAGTTTATGAGTTTTCATTAAATCAAAATGCCATGATCGACAACAACAACAACAATATTAAGAAGAAAAACGAAGCTCTATTAAAAATTGACCATGTTAATAAATTAATTTTTAAAAAACATTTTCAAATTTTGTTCTTTTACTATATATATTTGCTGAAGGTGCTGATGTATTTGTGATTTAATTTTTGTTATTGTTGTTGTTTTTAAACTAGTTTTGTTAAAATTTCAAAGAATTTGAAGCAATATTTGAAAAAGAGAAACGGAGGGGGAGGGTCATTTGCCATAATTTGTACTGGGAAGAAAGATAAAGATTAGAAACTTGTAAAAATTGTGATAAAGTAATACACATAAGTATTGTGAGGGAGGTACCAGAAGGTTTGGGCCAATATCTATCATCTTCACACCAAATCTTGTGTTTGAAGCAATATTGGGATGTGTGAAATTTGAAGAGACTCGGAGGCTTATTTCTCTTTTTATGACCATTTTAGTTATTCAAGATTGTGAGCGGCAGGTACCAGAAAGAGCTTAGTAGTTATTCAAAATTTTGATCTCTTTGAGGGGCAGATACCAGAAAGAGTGGGCCGATATCTATCATCTTCGCACCAGAATTGGTGAGCCAATATATCCCATCTTCACACCAGATCTTGTGTTGGAGAAAATATTGGCATGTATAAAGATTAGAAAGAATCGGATGCTTATTCATATTTTATAAGCATTTTAATTCTTCAAAATTTTGACCCTTTTGTGGGGGAGGTACCAGAAGGGGTGGTCCATTTTATTCCATTTTCACACCAGTTCTTGTGTTGCGAAAAATAATGAGATGTGCGATGCTTGAAGACATTTGGGCTCTTATTTCACCCCTAGATCGACTCCAAATGTCCCGAAACTGATTTGTTCCAAAGAGACCTAGGGTCCAAAATCGTTATTTCGACCAATATTTCAAGGTGTTTCTAAAAGTTTGGCTCAATCGAAATAGTAATACCCCTAATGCATGTTCAAGAATAAGAATTTAATTTCGATACAAAATTCCCCCGAAAATTTGCCGAAAAGGGAAATAATTTTACTTGAAATCAAATAGACTTGAAATCTAAAGTAAAATTCGTTTTATTTAAATATTATAAAACTCTCTCGCATTTTTTTTATCCCAAACTCTGAAAACTTACAAAAAATTCTAAAAAAAATTTCCAATTTTTCAAACTCTCAAAACCGAAAAAAAATCATAAAAAATGTATTTTTTTTTTCCAAAATTTTAATTCCAATATTCTATTGGTTTTATAGATTATTTATTTAAAAAACTCTAAATCAAATTATTATACAATGAGAACAAAAAACATTCACACGCTTAATTTTTTTTATTTGTTGCTGTTGTTGTTTTTGTTTTTTTTGTATCATATTTCAATCATCTTTGTTGTGTGACTTTCGTTTAAGAAACGCTTATCGCCAGCTTGAACACAAAAGAAGCCGCCAATATTATAAATAAAAATTAAAGATCAATATTTGTTTAAACGCAAAAATTATATTTAAATTATAAGTTGTTACCGAAAACATGACGAAGAAAATAAATGACAATTAAGGTGTCATCATAAATAAACAACCGGTTAATAATTTTGATGTTTTTTTTTTGCTTTTTTGGCAGCATTTTTATGAAAATAATGATACGAGGAAATTTTTTGAGTTGCGAAATTGAATCCCGGGAAATGGGAAAGGCTAAAAATGTTTCCATTGGAAATTAAATTTTTTTTATTTTTTTCTATATATAAAAAAAGAATATGTTTCAATGTGACTTATTTCGTTTGTTTTGGTTTGATAATGAACTAGAATTATGGCAGAATTTTTATGAAAATATCGATATAAGGAACTTTTTCAATAACGGAATTCCATTCCGGGAAATGCGAAAGGCTAAAAATAATTCCATTGGAAATTAAAGTTTTGGATTTTTTTATTTTTATATTTTATATAAAAAGAATATATTCCAATCCCTTCCTTCATTTTCCCTTCTTCATTTTCATTTACCATTTTAATTATATTTTTATTATTCAATGGCCATAGCTACATTTTATTAAATTATTTCAGTTTGTATGGTGCCACAACAATGTTGTTCTTTTTTTCTGTTCTGGTTTTTTGAATATTCATTTTCAGAACCCAAATAATGGTGTTTTTTTCCTTCCGCATCGAGTTTCATATATATTTAATTTTTAATTGTTGAAAGAAAAAGTTTAATGCAAATATACAAACCAAGTAGTTGGAGACCAACGTTTTTTTTTTGTTTTTTTGTTTAATTTTATTATTTGTTTATAATGTAGGCATTTGAACTTTAAAGGTTACATACTAGCTTATGAATAATTTAATAAAAAAAAAAAAATTAAAAGTTTTCAACACATTGTAATTACAATGTCTTGAAAACTGAGTATATTTTATTGTGGCAAAGTGACACTAGAAAAAAAAAAAATAATTTTATATATTTACATTACGAAATTGAATTTAAAATTACTTTGACAGGCAATTATTCTAGGGTAGTTCAAACATGACCACAATATTTTTCAATTTATTTTTTTTTTTTTTTTATAAAATTTCCCATGAAAATTATGGATTTTTATTAATATCACTTAACACTTATTTATTTCATAGCCAAATTTATTAGTTTTTAATTTTCATAAAAAAAAATAAAATATTTAAAAAAGGGAATTATAATTTTCCCAAACTGGTCACTGACTCATTTTTGTTACCCATTTCAATGCCGATGAGTTTCAATGCCAATTTTTTCTAATATAACCCGAAATCGTTTTTACTTATTTTATAGCCAAATTTATTATTTAATATTATTTTTTATATTAAAAATAAACCTTTTGAAATGAAGAATATAATTTGCTCAACATATTTTTTATTCGCCTCCATAAAAAAATATTATTTTTTTTTACTCACAAATTTTGTTACTCTTCTCAATGCCAAATTTATAATTTACTGGGAGCCTATGTCCACTTCCCTTTTTTTCCTTTGGTCTTTTGGTCCAAAAACCCAATTGTTGTTGGTTTTGATTAACTTGCAAACACAAAACAACTAGCCGAAACTAAAAAGTTTACTAATTGTTGCATTAAGCGTCAATACCAAACTTAAAAAAGAAAAATCCAACAAAAACTGCAACCAAGCTGGCTGGCTGGCATTTAGGGAGGACAAAACAACAACAACAACACCACACAGATGAGTATGATGACAACAATGTCTAGGCAAGATATACAACACATGACAACACATATGGCCTGGTGGCACGGAAGAGTTTTGCTGCCTGGCACTGCTGGTGTTGCATATCGCCCCGGCAAAACTAGGCGAAGCCAAATTGAAAACAGAGCCGCCACAATGCGACATGCTCGCGATTAAGTCATATTGACTAGCAGAGAAGAGACCATAGAAATAGAAGCAGCCAGTTAGCCAGCTAGTTTGCCATCCAGGCAACCGTCCAGTCAAACAGCCAGTTTGCCACCAAACTGAAAAAAAAAAAAAACTAGGCGAGAGAGTAGTAGATTGTTTTTATAAGATTACAGGCCAAAAGCATGGCAGGCCAGCAGAGAAGATGAAGAAAGCAGGTTGCTGGCTGGATGGTTGGCTAGCTGTTTGATTTCCAGCAGCAGGTTGCTTGTTATAGGAATGTTAAAACACTTGCTTTACGCCACACACAAATGCCAAAACAATTGATACAGGTGTAAAAATGGCTTAGAAACAAAACCCAGTGACCAAGTTTAAGGTCTTCCACTGGAAAAAATATTAAAAAAAAATCTAAAAAAACACCCCAACTAATTCTCTCCTCTCTTTTTTCTCTCTCTCTCTCTCTTTGCAGATACCACAAACGATCATGAACAGAATGGTTCCTGTTCTCCATTGGCGGCGGCCACCGCCAATGAGCAGGAAAATCATGGCTGTGATAGGCCAGTAAGTCCCAGCAATGATAATTCCAATAATGCAACACCCTCATCACCTGCCCCCTCAAGTTCGGCAAATGAACCATGCCAAGATCAGGAAGAAACTCCCCACAAGACATATCCCAAGGAACAAGAGTTTCCCTCACCCACACCACCAGACCTCAATGAGTCACAGGAGCCGGTGAATAAGGCCCAAGAAACCACAGAATCTCAAGAAAACACAAACGAAACAGCCGAGGAACAGGACGAACACTTACATCAACAACACGAACACAACTTGGAAGACAAAGAAAACATGTGTCTCAGCAAGACCACAATTGAGCAAAATGATGAAGAAATGGAGGAGGAGGAATCCCCGCAAACTCTGCCAGCTCCTCCCAAATCCATGGAATTTGAAGAAAATGTCGAAACACCGGTGGCTGCGGCCGAGAAGTCATTAGCGAAATCACAAGAAACTGAAATGGACAGTGTTTCGACCACCCCATCTCTGGCCAGCGGTTCGCTGATGGCCAACAGTCAATTTCCCACCACCCCTGTTAACATTGAAGCCATCAAGAATATGCAACTGGCAATTGCCCAGGCAGCAGCAAAAACCATTGCCAACAGTGCTTCGGGTCAGGATAATGAGGCTGCCATGAAACAATTGGCCTTCCTGCAACAGACCCTCTTCAATTTGCAACAGCAACAACTTTTCCAAATCCAACTCATACAACAGCTGCAGTCTCAACTGGCCATGAATCAAACGAAAAATCAAGCCGAAGAAGAAGAGGAGGAGGAAGAGGGGGAGAATGGTGAAGAAGACACCTATGAAGAGGAGGAACGTATTGCCCAAATGGAGCTAAGGCAAAAGGCTGAGGCCCGCATGGCCGAAGACAAGGCCCGCCAGCATCTCATCAATGCTGGAGTTCCTCTCGAGTCCTTGAAGCGCAAACGTGACAATGATGAAGAACCCGAGGCCCAACGGCGCATGAGTGTGGAGTCGAGCAACAACAACAAGTCATCCGAATATGCCCTGGACAAACTTAAGGAAATGGAAAATCGCCCCCTACCCTTTGGCTCCGTTTTGGCCTCATCCATTATAACCCATCACGACGACTTGCCGGAACCCAACTCTTTGGATTTACTACAAAAACGGGCCCAGGAAGTCTTGGACTCAGCATCTCAGGGTATTTTGGCCAATAACATGGCCGATGAATTTGCTTTCAAGGAGAACAATGGCAAGGCCGGCAATGAGCCATTCTTCAAACACAGATGCCGCTACTGTGGCAAGGTATTCGGCTCGGATTCGGCGCTCCAGATACACATTAGATCTCACACCGGTGAAAGGCCGTTCAAGTGCAATGTTTGTGGCAGCCGTTTCACCACCAAAGGCAATCTGAAGGTACACTTTCAGCGCCATGCCCACAAGTTTCCCCATGTGCCCATGAATGCCACACCCATTCCGGAACATTTGGACAAATTCCATCCTCCTCTGCTGGATCAAATGTCACCGGAGAGCTCTCCTTCCCATTCACCCGCTGCAATGCCGCAACAAATGCCCGCTTCCGGGCCAGCTGCCGCCCCCGCCGCTACTGCTCCTCCACAAATGCCTGCATTGAATTTCCCCAGCCCTGCAAATCCCTTCCCCGCCTTGTCGGGTCTTTATCGTCCTCCCTTGGATCTGCTAAAGACTCTGCAAAGTACAACGGGTAGTTTTCCAAATCCATTCTTTCCCCAAGTGGCCAGCAATTTGGGAGAAGCTGCCGCCCAGGCCCAACAGGCAGCCCAGGCTGTTTTGAATAAGTCACAACAAGATGGCCCCACAGATTTGAGTAAAACCTCCGAACCAAATTCACCTGAACCTCCCACACAAATCAAAGCCGAATTAACGGAAGAAGCTGAAGAAGTCGAGGCGGCCAAAGAAAGCCGGCCTGTGTCGGCAGAATCACCCAGAGTCGAAACGCCGCCCAAGATGGCAATGTCACCCACGCCGGCGGCTGGCATCAAAATCAAGGAAGAAAAACCTGAAGAAGATGAACGTGAAGTAGAACATTTGGCTACCTCACAATCCCCGGCCCCGGCCCGCTCCCATGTACCTAATGCCTCACCATCACCGCCAGCCACAATGAAGCCCATTCAACACCCCTTGCCGCCGGTGGTTCAACCAGTTCAGCCACCAGCTGTTATGTATCCCCAACCCTCGCCTGGATCTCAACACAGCCTTGACCATTTGCCCACCCCCGGGCAGTTGCCACCTTCGATGGTGCATCATCGTGAGGATTTCTTTGCCGACCGCTTCCCCATCAATTTTACCAAGACTGATGACAGACACTCACCCATACGTTCGCCAGCCCATTTACCGCGTCCACCTTTCTGCAATCCCATGAAACCCTATGATATGGCCTTGTTGCCACGCCCCCATAGCAATGACAATTCCTGGGAGAATTTCATTGAAATCTCAAACTCCTCGGAAACAATGAAACTCAAGGAGCTGATGAAGAACAAAAAGATTACCGATCCCAATCAGTGTGTTGTCTGCGATCGGGTGCTGTCGTGTAAGAGTGCTCTGCAAATGCATTATCGCACCCACACCGGGGAGAGACCGTTCAAGTGTCGCATTTGCGGTAGGGCCTTTACTACAAAGGGTAACCTGAAGACCCACATGGCTGTGCATAAAATTCGGCCACCCATGCGCAATTTCCACCAGTGTCCGGTGTGTCACAAGAAATACTCCAATGCCTTGGTGCTGCAGCAGCATATACGTCTGCACACCGGAGAACCCACCGATTTGACGCCCGAGCAAATCCAAGCTGCTGAGATACGTGATCCACCACCCACCATGATGCCGGGAGCTTTTATGAATCCTTTTGCCGCAGCAGCATTCCACTTTGGTATGCCCGGTGGTCCTGGTATGCCACCAATGGGTGGTCCCCATAATGGCACCATGGGCTCGGAATCGTCTCAGGGTGATATGGACGATCAAATGGATTGTGGTGAGGATTATGATGATGATATGTCCTCGGAACACATGTCCAATTCGAATGACATGGAATCAGTGGATAGGCCAAAGTCCACGGATGATTTCAAGGCCTTGCTGTTCGAACAAAAGCTAAGGATTGATCCCACTGGCATTGTAAATGCCGGTTCCCGGCCCCAATCGGCCACCTCCAATGCAAATTCTGTGAACTCGGCACCCAGCAGTCCGGTGGCTTTGAGTAAACCCTTGAATGTTACCCGTTCCAGTTCACCTGCACGATCGGCATCGGAGACGTCGCATGGGGCTTTGGATCTAACACCAAGGGCGGCTCCCTCAACGGCACGTTCACCACAACCCGTGACATCGGCGAAACGACGATCCCCTTCGCCTTTGAGCAAATCACCAAAAATGCCACAAATTAGCCCAACTACCAGCCTACCACCCACTGGTGCCAGTCCGGTTGACTGTTTGCCACCAAGTTTACATCATCACTTGCAGCAGCAACATCAACATTTAATGCAACAACAGGCTGCCTTGGCTGCGGCACAACATCATCAGCAAATGCAGCACAATGCCGTTGTGGCCATGCACCAGGAACAGTTGCGTCGTGAGGTGGCTCAGGCCCAGGCGCAAGCGCAACATCATCAGCAACAACAACATCAACAGCAGCAACAACAATCAGCCTTATCGCCAAATACATCGGGCGGCAGTAGTTCACATGCAGCCGCCTCATCGGCAACCTCGCCACATGGTCAAGTGGCCCCGCCACCACCACCACCAAATCCTTTGGTGGGACCCCGACCACCATTCGGCATGTTCCCAAATCTCCCGCTGTTTCCACCGGCTTCTACGCAAAATATGTGCACAGCCATGAATACGATAGCCCAGTCTGTTATGCCGGCGGCACCATTTAATCCTTTAGCTCTATCGGGTGAGTTGTGAGTGAAACAATTTTTTATTCCAATTTTATTTTCTGTTGTTGTTGTTAAGTAAACGCTAAAGCAAAGAATTCCTAAGGCTAGAAAAAAATGAGAAGAAGAGGAGGAGGAGTAGGAAAGAAACTCCAGGGTTTCCCCGCTTGCTATTCATTTCTTGTGTTGGGCTGCATGGCTTATTATGCTTTTCCCTATGCTTTTTAAGTTTTTCGATTCACCTAAGCTTTGTATTTACTAATTTTTGTTTTCTTCGTTCTCTTTGTGTCTTTGTAGGAGTCAGAGGCAGCACTACCTGCGGCATTTGTTTCAAAACATTCCCCTGCCATTCGGCTTTGGAGATTCACTATAGAAGTCACACAAAAGAGAGACCATTCAAATGTACGATTTGTGATCGCGGTTTTACAACAAAGGTAAGGTGTCATGGAAGGAAGGAAGAGAAGAATATCCTTTTATTATTTTTATTTTTTAAGAGAAAAAAATCTTTTAAAATTTTTCTAATTTCAAAATGTCTACTTTTTCCCTTCTCTTTCCAGGGTAATCTCAAACAACACATGCTAACCCACAAAATTCGTGATATGGAACAAGAAACCTTCCGGAATAGAGCAGTCAAGTATGTAAGTGTTCCAAAATAATAATGACATTTTCATTTCATTTCATTTCATTTTGTTGTTTTATTATTTTCGTCTACTTTCTACTGGGAGTTGTACGGAGGGAGAATTTCTAATCATTATAAAGTCATTATTCTTGTCACGAATAACCTGAGACACGTTCGATATAGAGACGAAACAGAAGAAGTTGTATTGTATTGTTCAACTGTGCTCATTTCAAAATTGTATGCATCTATTTCAATTTTTATTTGTGGGAGGGCAGTGGACTGGGAATTGAAACTGTGATATTTGAAATTAATTGAAATTTGCTCAAAATTTTTGGTCTTCAATCGGGTTTTCAATTCAGAGCCGAAAAAATAAAAAAAAAACAGTTTTGAAGAGAAGAAAATTTTCTCTGAGCAAAAAAAAAAGGTTTTGAGCATGCAGACTTGGCATGGTTTGACTTTGGTCCATTTTTGAGAGAGAAAGCACAAGATTGCCCTCTTCTCCACTAATAGGTGTGATAAATTACCAAAGATGAGAGAACGTACAACAAATCCTCTTTGTCTTACACTGGTATACAGATTTTTACGAGTTAAACATTCGAAATTTCAAAAGCTCTCCATGAACTTTCAGCGATAAAAATCATGCCTCTCACTTCAACTCTCTCCACCACTCTCAGTATTTCTCATATGGAATTATGATCGAGGGACATTACTCCCCCCAACTGCTCCTTCACATATTTTGGGTAACTGTAATTGAATGTAGTTCTCATTAATTGACAAATTTAATTTTTTAGAAAGGATTATAAATCTTCTCTCTTCTCCAGTTTACTCTTCATAAACTCTTAGCGACAAAAATATTTCTCATAAATTGAGACAAAGTAACAAAATATGTATTGGTAGTTGTAGGGGACTCCCTCGCCCTATCAAATTAATGGCAAATCGAGAGAGAATACGGGTGTTTTGTTTATACTTTTTCGTTCGAGGTCTCGAGGTCTTTTTCGTTCGAGTCTCTTCATTTGCAAGGAGCTGTGTTCTTAATATTTAACAAATTTAAAACATTTAAAAAATAGAAATCCCATCTTCGTCATCATCTCTCTCCCTTTTCTGTAGTACTCTCATTCATGCATCCTACCTCTTTCATCATCTCACTCCTGTTATATTTTATTGTGAAAATTTTACTAATTTCCTCCCTCTTTCTTTTTGTGTCTTTTTAGATGAGTGGCGCCAAAGAAGACTGAGGTGCATTCTAAGTCATCACACTCTATGCTGCTGCAGGTTTCCGGGCCCCTTTACATGGCACCGAATTCGAGTATAACACACAATAATATCCCGGATTTCAGGGTTAGATAAGTTTGTAGAGCTATTTTATCCACATCAAAAAAAAGTAAAACTTTAAACAAAATATCGACGACGTGATTTTCAAAATCGAAATTCCAAAGATATAAGACAACAACAACACAACAATTTATTTATGAATTTAAGTTGAAAAACATTTGCAGAGAGCCAGAGAGGGTAGCGGGAGAAAATTAAGGATAAGGAGGAGGGTTTTGTAAAATCAATGAACTCTTTCTCTCTCTCTCTCTCTTGTTCCATCTCTCAAGTCTCATAACAATTAAATCACAAAACTCGCATAGCAATGATCTCACTCATACATAGACACAAATGGAACCCATTGGACAAACATACACGCGCGCAGCCCTGGTAAAAGGGGAGCTTTGGCCCCAAACCAAACAAACAAACACCCAAGTGGTCGTTGTTGTTGTTGCCGATGTTTCTCCAGTGGGTTGAATGAATTGGTTGGCGGCTTGACTTTTTGTTGTTGTTACTTCACACACACACCTATCCACATCCACACAAGAGCGCTTTTCGCTTTCGATTTTAACATTGAGCATATGAAATGATGTATTGCAAACGTCAAAATGTTCAAAGATGAAAGCAATTGAAACTAATATCAATTCCAAAGAAATTAAAGCGCAATTATTTTTGGTGGAGAGCCCCAAAAAAAGTAATGAAAAAAAAATCGAAGCGAAAAAGGCAAAAATGTTTTGTAAAACAAACATCTCCGTGGCCTGGGCAAAATAATATAAATGTATTTTTTATGGCTATAAACAATCACCAAAAAGACATAAAAACCAACTAATTTTCTTTTTAATATTGAAACAAATCCAAAGAATTTTTATTTAGATTCCCCAAAATAGAAAAACTACAAAAATAAATAAAAATATTGTTTTTTTTTTTCTTTTTAAAGATCAATAAGTTTTAATATTTTTCCATTCTTTTTTTCAACTTCAAAGAGAAGTAACGGAATTAAAAAAAAACATAATTGGAAATGCCATTAAAACTTAAGCAAAAAAGAAACAAAATAATAATAAAAAAGAAAAACAACAAAAAAGAGACTGATTTCGTTTCATAAAAAAATTTACACAAGAAAAAGAAAAAAGTAATAACAAAAACAATTCCAGCTAGGAAAAAAGACCAGCAAAGATAAAACACAAACAGAAATAAAATCAAAAATTCGAATTTAATACCAACAAACAGAAACTAAAAACAAACAATGTAAAATATTATAAAAATTTTAACAATAGTTATTGTGCAATACAAAAACAAACAAAAAAAAATCCACAAAAAAAAAAAAAAAAAAACACAAAGCAAAATATCATTATGAAAAAATAATTCCCTTTCCTTTATTAATTATTATTATTTTTTTTTTGTAAATACATTTTTGCAATCATGTTTTTTAAGATTTCATAAAATTATTAATTATTACAAAAATTATAAAAAAAATTGTGATACTATTTCATACTTTTAATTGTTTGAGAAAAAAATGGATTTCCTTTAATAATTATTGATACATAAAATCAAATTTACGGCATTTGTACATAATTCAAATTGTATTTTTTCATTTTAATTTTCATTATTTTTTTTTTTGAATTGAGAAAAATAAATATAATATATATGTATGGTCACATTTCTTTAACTAGTTTTCAAACACCCTTCCCCCACTTAGTTGTAATTAGTCACCACAAGATAAAATATATATTAATTATAATTTTAAATACTTTAAAAAAAGCATCACACACACAAACACATCCAACAAAATACATATAATTATATAATTAAAAAAATAATAATAATAAAATAACTAAATATAATTTCTCTCTAGATTTAACAATTAAGTGTACAATTAATGTATTAAGTTATAAACTAATATTGAAAAGAAAAACAAACATAACAAATAATTTATATATTGAAACAATATTATTATTGTAATGTATATTAAAATTTAGGAAAAAAAAAAAAACAAACAAAAATTATTATAATTATATATTTAGTAAGAAAATAAACAAAACAAACATCTCATGAAAGAACAAAACAAAACAACAACAAAAAATATATACAACAAAAATACATTATGAAATTTGTGAAAAAAAAATTAAATGAAAGCCTTTTATTTCCTCTTGCTTCTGTCAGATGAAAATATTTTTGGGGGAAAATGGTACTTTGATACCCCACACCATTTTGCGTATTTAGTAGAGCTCCCGTAACAAAAAAGTTTATATTGGAAATACCAACTATAAACCAAATAACATTGCTCTATAGGGCACAATATAATTTTGATGAGGATTATATTCAACAAGTAAAAAAGCAGTTAAATTCCTACTCTCCACCATTTTAAACGATCTTGAATATACTCAAAAAACCGTAAAAAATAACGCTCAAAGGAAAACCGTTATATAGGGGCCTTACGAAGGCTTGCTCCTGTATAAGTAATTTTTGTGTTATAGTGTGTAGTATCGATTCCGAACTTAAAATATGAAATTTGAATTTGGTTAAATCATCAAAATACCGAATATCGGGGGTACCGTTACATGGTGGCTATACGATATCGTGGACCTATATAAAAAATTCTCTTCCAGGGGGTAAGGTACTCCCAAGGAACACCTTGTGTGGATTTTAAGACAATTCCATTGAAAATGTGGCCAAAATCAGCAAAATACCGATTTTCGGGTTGTACTTTTATATGGGGGCTATGCGATATCGTGGACCTATGTAGATAATTCTCTTCCAGGGGATAAAGTATTCACAAGGTACTCCTTGTGTGGATTTTAAGACAATTCCATTGAAAGTGTGGCCAAAATCAGCAAAATACCGATTTTCGGGTTGTACTTTTATATGGGGGCAATGCGATATCGTGGACCTATGTAGATAATTCTCTTCCAGGGGATAAAGTATTCACAAGGTACTCCTTGTGTGGGGTTTGAGACAATTCCATTGAAAAATGGGGTTACAATCATCAAAATACCAAATATCAGGAGGTATAGTTATATGGGGGATATGCGAAATAGTGGGCCTATATAGACAATTCTTTTAAGGCGATAAAGTACCCACAAAGAACTCCTTGTGTAGAATTTCAGACAATCCCATTGATATATGGGGGATATACGATATCGTGGACCAATATAGCCCATATTCGAAATTGACCTGCCTGCACACAAGAGACTGATCTGTCCAAACAAACTTCCTGTCTTAATTCGTGAGCGTGATTACTATAGACGGACAAACGGACAGATGGACAGGGCTAAATCGTCTTAGAATTTTACTCTGATCAAGAACATACAGGGTGAGATGAAAAAACTGCAACCAACTTCAGACTGCAGTCATTTCTAAGCCACTCGTCCGACAGCTGTTAAAATTATTCCAGTGACAGGTCATTATATTGTTTACAAACGTACAAAAGCATTTTGGTGAGAATTTTCCAGAAAAAAAGTTATTCGTGATCGTGTGACTTCTTTATATTTGGCTGAAAACCCGCAAGTGGCTATCGTTAGAGCACTCCAGCATTTAAATGTGAATAAATCTTTTGTGTCTCGTATCATCGCTCGTTACTGTGATACAGGTAGCGTAGCTCGACGTCAAGAAAGTGAACGGAAAAAACAGCAACATCAGCAGAAATGATTCCAAAAGTAATGAAGCGACTTGGTGGAAACCCGCATCGCAGTGGCAAAAAAAAAAAAAAAATGGCTCGTGAGCTTAACATATTGCAATATTCCATTCGGAAAATATTGAAAAAATGAGCTCGGGGTAAAGCCATTGAAATTTCAAAAAGTGCAAGAACTTACACCGCAACAAAAAGAGCTAAAGAGTTGCTTCGCTTGGCTGAAAGTGGTAAACTGCCGAATTTGGTTTTCCCCGATGAAAAAACATTCGTTGTCCAGCAGTTTGTAAATAAACAAAATGATCGTGTTTACTTGCCAAAAAGGTCAGCTGAAAATGTGCACCTTAGGTTGGCCACCAGAATTCAAGCGCCGGCCATGGTGATGGTGTGGGCCGCCATAACAGCCGATGTTCGCTTTCCGCTTGTATTAATCGACCGTGGCATCAGAATAAATGCCGAATATTATTGCGAAAATATTCTGGAACAAATCTAAACTTATTCTAATATTTGATGCTATTTCCGAAGTTTTTTGCTTTCACTCAGTAAAATTAAAAAAAAGTAAAAATTATGGCTTTTGACTTTGTTGCAGTTTTTTTTTTATCTCACCCTGCATATTTTAGGGGGAAGAAGTACAATAAATTATCTGAAACGATTTCAATATTATTTGACAAAATCTATTTTTGTCCATTTGACATACATAACGAGTTTGGTGCATCAAATACACGATATCGGCCGAAAATTTTTATAGGAACTATATCCAAATTTAAACCGATTTCAATATAATTTAACGAATTTATTTGTAGACAAAATTCAGTCGCACAGTCGCCACATTTCATTGAAATTGGAGATTCATAGCGTGTTTGGTGCAGCAAATATAAGAAATCGGCATAACATATTTATGGAAGCTATATCAAAACCTCAACAGATTTCAATATAATTTGACAAATTTAGTTTTTGATCAAATTCCATTATTCATACTAAATTTTAACATCGTATATATAACAGACCAATGGATTTATGCATACAAAATCTAAATTATTTGGATATACCTCCGATTCTAATGATATATCTCCAGCTCCAATTGTTATTGTAGTATCTTTAGAAAGGTAACCAAACCTCAAATTTTGAGTTTCCAGCTCTTTATTTACCGCAACTACCAAATTTAGTACTATTTAGTATTACTCATAATTTTTTGTATACGAATTTTCAAAAACACCTTTCAACCCTAATTCCAAATTGTAGATTTCAAGAACTATCAGGCTTATCATAGACTTGATTCTCATATCAAATTTCAAGTTTTTTCAATAATTCCAAATGATACCAAATGTAGTGATTTTTTTTACTTTTAGTACACGTATTGTTAAAATTTTGAAAACCCCTTTAGTTTGTCTATCCTACACAACATCAAAGATACTCACTCAAAATTTCAGATTTCCAGCTCTATTCTTTCCCCAAATACCAAAGTAATTACTATGTAGTACTTTACGCACTTCTTGGTACGTATTTCTAAATCCCTCGCCATATATTAACCAAACCGCACAAAAGGAGAATCTAAATTCCATATTTTAGACTTCCAACTCAATCCCTTACACAAATACCAAATTGATTACAATTTAGTACTTTTTAGGACTGAGAAGGGACCCAAAGTACGAAATATTGACTTTTCAATGTAAAATTTGCAAAATGTCTACTTTCACATTCCCCCGCCTTATTTAGTTATTGTGTTCCATTCATGAACGACGTTTTTGCTTTTGCGACATTTTCTGAACGTAGATCAATTTTTGTAGATATTTTTATAACCTCCACCATACTATGGAGGCTATATTAACTTTGTCATTTCGTTTGCAACTCCTCGAAAAAGTCATGTCAGACCCAAAAAGTATATATATATTCGTGATCAGTGTAAAATTCTAAGTCGATTTAGCGGTGTCCGTCTGTCTGTCCGTCCGTCCGTTCATCTTTCGAATGAATTGAGATATATGGCTAAAATTTTGCACGCATGTGTATTTTTCTAGGCAGGTTAAGTTCGTAAATGGGCCATGTAGATACACGTTTTCATATAGCTCCCATATACCGGTACCACCCGATATTCGGTATTTTGACGATTTTAGCAACATTATTCATCAGAATTGTTTCAAATTACGTATTTGGAGTTCGTTATGGGAACTACAGTCTGTGACAGAAAATTGTCTATGCATGTCCAGTACCTCCTTATATTCGGTATTTTGACGATTTTAGGTACAATTCCCGCCGAAATTGTTTGAGATGTGGTATTTGAAGTTCGTAATGGATGCTACAGCCTGTGACAGGAAATTGTCTATGCAGGTCGATATAATGGTACCTCCCTATATATCATATTTTGATGATTTTAGCTACATTATTCACCGTTTATTTCAAGTTTCGAATTTGAATATGGTAATGGCTTATGAAAAACAATGCCTATGTAGGTCCACGTCGTATAGACCCCAATATAACGGCTATATTTGGTATTTTTGAAATTTTAACAGAATTTTTTAAGGATTTTATTTTTTGAAAATTTACAAATTCGTTCCAAATGGTGGAGGGTATTCAAAGTTCGGCCTGGTCGAACTTACTGCTTTTTAACTTGTTCTATTTTGAAATATTATTTGTGCTTCTCTCTATATATAGAGACAATTTTTTGTTGTTTATGTCAGAGATATATATATTTTTTTTGAAAATTGAAAAAAAATATTTTGCAATATTTTTCAATGAATTCTAGGTAATCCGATGCAAGTGTAAAATTTGGTGTCACTTTTGTGGCCTAGTTTTTTGTTTTAATTGCAAATTGCATATCCCGCCCATGATCTATTTTGACATTTTAAGGAACAGACTGACGAGATAGCAATGACCTTGTTTAACTTTATCCTCGGTCAATAAATCATAATTATATGAAATTGAAGGTCATGACCTCATTTTTTAAAAATTGTATCATTTTTTTTGTTTTTGGTCTCAGCAAGAATTCAATTATCTACTTTTCGAAAAAAAGAACATTAAAAATAATATTTTTTTATTCAGAAACACCTTGAATGTGTCTGTCTGTCTGTGGTGTGCTACACTTGTTACCATTTTTTTGTGCACCACCAAGGTTGTGGGTTCTTGTGTGACAACATTGTGAATCCACTTTGACTTAGTTTATTTTTTCGGCTGGTGTTGTGTTCAGTTTCAATTTCATTGCCTGTGTTCCGCTCAATTGTTGTTGGCCATGCTGCTGGCTTTCGCCAGGCACAGCTGGATACCAGTTTGAGGCAGTTAATAAACGATGATTATGATGATGGTCACCCAGTCACCAGAAAAAACACAAGAATTTTCATTTTTTTTCTTTCTCAAAACTATAAGGTGCCAGTTGTCGAGAGCTGCTAGGTCGTGGTGATCATTAGGGGATAGATTATGATTTGTTATTGCGCTGACAAATATTTTGATTTACAACTTCAAAACACACAGCATAGATAATGTAAACAACAATATTAAAACAAAAAATATCAAATC